GTGTGTGTGTGTGTTTGAGTGACATCTTTATCAATTCATCTTTAGTTAGACATTTAGGTTGCTCTCATATCTTGGTTATTGTAAATAACGGTGTTATAAACACTGGGGTGCATGTATCTTTTCAAATTAGTGGGGGGTTTTTTTCAGATAAATACCCAGAAGTGGAATTGCTGGGTCATATACTAGTTTTTTTATTTTCAGTTTTTTGAGAAACCGCCATACTGTTTTCCATACTGGCTGCTCTGTTTTACATTCTTACCAACAGTGTACAAGGGTTCCCTTTTCTCCACATCTTTGCCAGCATTTGTTATTTCTGGTCTTTTTGATGACAGCCATTCTAATCGATGTGAAGTCGTAGCTCACTGTGGTTTTAATTGGCATTTTTTTGAAGATTAGCAATGTTGAGCATTGTTTCCTGTACCGTTGGCTGTCTGTATGCCTTCTTTGGAGAAATGTCTATTCAGTTCTTCTACCCAACTTTTTAACTGGGTTGTTTGTTTTCTTGGTGTTGGGTTGTATGAGCTACTTATGTATTTTGGATACTGAATTCATTTATATAAAAGTCATATCATTTGCAAATATTTTCTCCCATTCAGTAGGTTATCTTTTTGTTTTGTTGATGGTTTCATTTACTGCAAAAGCTTTTCAGTTTAATTAGATCTTATTTGTTTTTTGCTTTTGTTTCCTTTGTTTTAGGAAACAGATCCAGAAAAATATTGCTACAATTTTTGTCAAAGAGGGTTCTGCCTGTGTTGTTTTGTAGGAGTTTTACGGTTTCTGGGTGTACATTTAGGTTTTTAGGTAGATATCATTTTAAATAGTTTACTACATATTGATTATTCTTTCTTTTCAAAATAAGGTACTATAAACGGGCCAAGTGTAGGTTTAAGAGGCAGGAGTAAGGCCTGGATTTGGTCTCAGTGTTGCATTCATTATCTTGGAAGAGTCGCATATTTCTAGGCTCAAATTTCAATTCAAAAATTATCATGCTAAATCAAATTATCTACATGTATTAATTTTTTTATCTTATCAATATTCAGCGAATATAACATATTTTTGTTGTTGGAATTACTACTAACGAGTTTAAATAAATTATAAATTTCAAAGCTAATATACAACAAAATTTTACCAATGAAAAGATTATTTTTAAACATTTTGGCTAATTTGAATTCATAAACTTTTAGAAATACAGATAAAAAGACTTATCAAACTATAATATTTAAATCAGTTAGTAATACTTAAATCATATTAAATTATATTAAAATGGAAATACTTTCAATATAAAATGTGCAAAATATTTTATTTAAACATCTCTGGGATTTCAAAATTATAGAATAGATCAACAAGATTACACTGTATAGCACAGGGAAATATATACAAGATCTTATGGTAGCTCACAGAGAAAAAATGTGACAATGAATATATATGTTTTCTTCAGTTCATGTACAACTGAAAAATTGTGCTCTACACTGGAATTTGACACATTGTAAAATGATTATAAATCAATAAAAATGTTAAAAAAAACTCACATAACTCTTTGTTTTTGGTTTCTTCATCATCCCTTGGATCGTTTCTTCAGGTATTTAACACAATTTTCAGAAAACATTATCTTTACTTTAATTGCTTTGGGATATAGTATATTATCATCATTAACATCTTTATGTAATGAAATTCCTGGAAATTTTATCACAAGCTTCAAGGACTATAATTACTTGGATAATATTGACAAGTGTTTTTTAGCTAAGTTTATTTTAAACATAATAAACTTTATTGCTAAAAATAATTTATCCAAAATGTAAGAGTACAGAAAAAGTGCAAGGAAAAAAATAACAACAGTCCATATTTATACAAACCAGAATTTTTAATAAGTGCATTTATCTTGAAACAGAGAGAGAGAGAAAGAGAGAAACCAGAATTGTCAAAATTAAAAAGACAGGAGAAAAATACTGGCAAGAATGTGAAACAGGTGGAATTTTCATACATTTCTGATGGAAGTGTAAAATCATATTGCTTTGTAAAACTGTTTGGAAGTTTCTTATAAAGTGGCACACATATCTAACCTATGCCTCAGTAATTCAGCTCCAAGGTATTTACTCAGAAGCAATGAAAGCAAAAGTCCAAGAAAGAACTCATACAAGAATGTTACCAGCATCTGTACCTGAGTAGCTAAAAGCTGTAAATGGCTTAGGTGTCCATTCAGAAGAAAATGTACAAACAATCTCTGGTATATACATACAATGGAATACTACTCAGCCATAAAAATGAACAAACTATTGATTCATGTGACATGAATTAATCTTAAAAATATTCTGCTGATTAAAAGAGGGCTTTCCTAAAAGAGTAGACATTGTTTGTTTTCAATATAAAGTTCAAAACACATCATGTAAAACTGATTTATACTGGCAAAAGAAAAGAAAGAAGAGCAGTTGCCTCTGGTGGGTGGGCCAGAGATTGGGAAGACGCATGGAAAGAACTTTCCAAGGTCATAGTGAAGTTTTGTATCTTGATAGGGGTTTGGGTTACAGTACTTGCCAAATCTCATCAAGTGACACATTTAAGGGGTATATATGCATACCACTGTATGTAAATTTTACCTTAACAAAATGAAGGACCAGAACTAAATGTTGAATTCTAGGTGAACACT